ACAGTATGTCCTTTGAAGTGAAAGAGAAGGAGCTTGGCAAGTACTCAAACAGCTGTTTTATGTACGTGTGAAAACAATAAGAAAATGTAAACAGTGTTTGCGTTTTATTAAATTAAAGTAACACTGTTGGAGTGAGAGTTAGGAAATCGTGTATAGACAGGCCTGTAGCAAGCTCACCTAGTGGGCTAGTGTCTGTATGTAAGCTATTTGTAATATTCAGTTTTAATTCCATTACAAAGATAAGACAATTTTAAAACCCTTCTAGCTATCAAAGTATTCAGTTAATGAGAAAGGAAAGAATATTCTTGAGCAGTACATTTACATCAGTACATCTATCTTTAGAAGCAAAAGTCTAGAAATCTTAAGTCCAGACCTAATATAACCTTGTCTATAAGGTAAGAGCTGCTACAACCCCCAAAAGGAAAAAGGTATCACCAAAATGCCAATGCTGAGTCCTTCAATGACAGAACTATTAGGGGAGATTATTATGGACATCTTGCCAGCTTAGATGCCAGTGTTGAGGAGTGAAGAAGAACGAAACCTGTCAAGGCATGAGTGCCAAGGATGGAAAAGGCTGTGACAAAGTAGCTCAAGTAGCTGTGACCCAGTGATGTTGTGTGCTCACACTCTTAGCAACTGGGGAAACTCCTACAGGGGTAGTGAAAAAGAGGACTAGGAAAGGGGAGAGACAAAACAACAAGGATAGCTCAGGGCTGTAGGTGCGATGGTCTAGGTGCTAGATCAGAAATTGAGAGAAGGGTGGGGGAGGGACAGTGGGGTGAGTAAGGATGAAGGAATAGAGAGGAGGTGGGAAGCATTTACAGTTGATTTGCAGTCCCCGGTAAGGTTCAAATTTTCAGAAGACCTGGAAGAAAGAGCGGACAGCATTGCAGGTGCAAGGAGCTGATTGTTTTCTCTGAAGAGCCTGAAGAGCTGCTTGTTTGAGGAGAGGTGAGAAAGTGACTCTTATCCTGACTTGAATGAGGTGAACAGTTATCAAATCATTGAGCTTTACAGGCTGGTGAGGGTGAGGAGATAATGAGGTACAGTAAAGGAAAGACCAAACAATACTTGTGAAAGATGTCTGTCTCTGATGCAGCCAACATATTTGAAAATATGCATACAGAGTTGTGAAAAGCAGGAAAGTATTTACACAGTGGCTATCAAAAGTATTCACCCCTCTTGGACTTTTTTACAGTGTTACAATTGGACTAAATGTTTTAAATAATGTAATGTATTTAACTGGGATTTTTTTTACTATTGATTGAAATAAAACCCTTTAATGTCAAAGCAAAAACAAAATTCTACATATCCTCCTAATTTAGTTCAGATGCATTTGAGGTAAATATTATAAAACAATCTAGTGTTAGTAGAGACTGCCATTTCAGGATGAGCAGAGGAAGATGCTGTGCTGATCCTGGGAGAGCGGCCAGAGAATGATTAGTGTTGAAGCTGGTTTTAGGTAGCACACTGCGAGGATGATGTAATGTGACCAACGTGGACAGCACTCAACAAATACTAAATAATGTGTTTTGCAAACAAAGTTGAAATGCAGATATTGGCAGATAAAAACCTACAAAGCAATATGTAAACCTAGGGATGGTTTGGCTATCTTATACACATAAAGCAATGTAAAGTCATTCACAAATGATTTAAAACTACAATATACAGTATGCAAACTAAACAGCCTTCATTTTTGTTTGAAAAAGAAAGTGAAACAACAGATTTTTAGTGGGTATACTAAATGAAGCATCAGTACAATTGCATCTTCTGTTTTGGGAGTATGACACAAACTGAATAGTGTGCATAGGTCACTATGCTAACAGCATAGTGCACTATTAAACAGGTGGTGAAAAATTAAGGTATTGTCATGGTTGGCCTCCCCCAGGGGACGCTTGTACCTTTAGGCGCCACTAATTTTAGTTTAACCCAATTGCTTTCCTGGTGTGTTTAATCAATGTGTTATAATATAAGCCAAGTGCTTCCAATGCTTTAGGCACAGCTTTGGAACAAGGATGTCTGAAGGCTCGCCTACGACCAAACTATGAGGAAGTTTGGCCTTATTCCCAGACAACCTGACCTCTGAGCCTGGGGCTTAGAGTGCCTTGTCCCGTGTCTGTCGGATGCCTCATGTTTCCCTTTTCGTGTTCTCCCCTTCCGGGGATTTTAATCTGTCCTTGTCTTGATTGATTGCCTGGTTCTGCACTTCTGGGCTGATTCCTGACTACCCCTTGGACCTGAATGGATTTGGATGTTATTGGATCTTTCTGTTTTTCACTATGGCACAGATTACCACTCTATCACTATTGTTGCACTATTTTCCGGATAAACCTCCTCAAAAAGGGTTTTAGTTACAAACACGTAGGAGACCAAGTTCTCCGTTCTCAAACGCTGTGCCTCCCGTGACAGGTATATTCTATATAATAGAATATATTATGATTTATATAATGTAAAACCTACAATTTAATGATGAATTACATTTTGTTTTAGTATTTAATGAGGAATATTATCTATATGCAATGTGTGGTAATTGTTATATGAAATATTTTGACTTATATATGAAATTGTATGCTGTGAAGTAAGAAATTCAAAGGGAAAAGCTTAAGCAGATAAAGTAACTCCTCCAGTAAAAGGAAGTCAGATTTGCATTGAGGCAGAGAGAGAAGGAAGGGCACATTCTCAGTGTTCTTTTTTTTGTCCCTGTGCAGAAAATGGCTACCTATTGTAAATATACAGTACCTGTAACACTACTGTTTGGTATGGTGGCAACTTCATAGGCTTTGTACTTGGACCTGGGTCCACCTTTGTAGGTGAGAACAGTTCCTCAAATATTTTCTTTTCTTTGCACATATGTGCTATAATGACAGCACCATCATTTCTTTCCAGCAACTTATCTTTGCTTCCTCTCATTCTACTAACATGGTTGTGACATGTAGAAACCAGTGCCGAGTAACCACAAATGAGCTGGATGAATGAAAAAAGCAGGAATAAATTGACTCTTTAGGGCAGATAACAGAATCAAGTTTAAAAAAGTGACTTTAAATGCCTTGACTGCTAGGTTGTTTTTGAGGTGCTAAGTAATTTTATCATGAAAGCAGATACGGATGTCTCAGAAACAAGAATGGTGAGGGTGAAAAGTACAGCTAGCAGCAGGAAATTTGGTGAATCACAGTAAATAAAAAAAATCAAGGATAAATTGTGCTTGAGGAGCTGAATCAATAAAATGAGAATGGTAGCCATTTCATAGTGAGAAAATGCAGCATGTTAAGATTTCAATGGCGAGCCATTTATATAAAGAAGACACTTACAATTTTAGCCCTTTGTAAAAAGTCACTTTGCAGATGGGCTAGGATAGAGAGGAGTGTGAATTGTAAGAATAGTCATCCTAAAATGAGGAATTTATAAGTATTTAGGAGAATCCAGAAAAAATACCTCTGACAAGGTATCAAAAGTATTGGTCTGCTGCTGCACCTGAAAAGTGAGTTTGATCAAATAAAATTTACCTAACAAGCACCAAAGAGGTGTCAGAAATATAAAAAGATGGGAAAAACTTTAATAATTATTAGAAAATATAGCTTTGCACGCCATTTCTACCTGTTGTTTTATTCAAATGAATAGCATGATTGATGGGTGAAAAGAGGAGAAAAGAATTGGACAAGAAGTGAGGGATTGTGCCGAGATAAGTTAAGTTATACTGTAAGTTGCCTTGATATTTGTATGTATATTTAGAGGGCTAATATGATATTAGGCAAAAAGGGGAAAACAGAATAGACCAGTCATGCAACATCTTTAAGTAAAAAAAAGCCATCGGTGATGGGATGAGAGTGGCGATTTGCAGGTAGGTCAAGAGAAGGGAAGGCAAGTCCCTGAGAAAATCCAGAGTGACCACCTAAAAGAAAATGAATAAAGGGAGATTTGGGTGTGAAGGTGGCTTGAAATGCAGTGTAGTAATATATATGGGTATGAAGAGAGAAATGCAGTCCTCAATCTGGGGAAATGAAACAAGTTGAAATGTAATGTAGTTGTTGGGAGCGTATGGAATGATCGTGAGTGCTGAGCAAAAGCTACAGATGTGAAGTAAGTGGCAGATGGAGTTTCTGCATTTAATTCTTAATTTAAATTCCAGACTTGTCCTCTTCCTGTGAAGAGGATAGTGTGGACCTTAATGAGGAATAGGAGAATGGAAGATGCAGAATAGATGTTGGACATGGTAAGAGAGATTGGATGTAGGGGAGGCAGAGATTCATACAGAGATCTGTAGTGAACACAAACAGACAAAAGGGTGGCAGAAGAGCTCAGTATCGAGTGGCTCCCAATAAAGCTGTAGTTACCCTGTTGCCCTGTTGAAGGAGAGCAATCAAAGGAAATGTCCTATTCATGTCTTTGGTCAGAAAAGGCAGGGCATAAGATATCCCACTATGCTACAAAGGGATACATATCAGTGAAAGAAAATGTTGCAGATATCATGGAGACATGAGCAAGCAAGTTGTGGAGACAGCATTTGTGTGTCTGGAACAGGTGTCTGGAATAGGAAGACAGGTGAATCTGAGGACACCAACTGCAAACAGTCTCCTGCAGGCTCTGAAATGCCACAGAACATGTTATATGGAGTGGTTGACGTAGTTGTGTATTGACAGTAGACAATGTGGGAATGGCTGAGAGGAAAAACTGCTCCTCACAGAAAGGATGTTTGGAGAAGGGGAAAAGATAAAACTATGAGAATAAGCTGAGACCATAGGTGTAATGTCTGGATTTAATTTAAGAAGCTTCATACGATTCTGAAATGAATGGATTTTTGCATATATGTTATCATTAAATGATAACCAAACCAATATTAGATTGAAAAACCGATTAAACACAGAAAATGGGGTTGGATCAAGCACATAATGAGGAAACCAATAACTAACAGCACTAGAGAATCCCTCATTTGAAACCCACAGAGGAAGAGGAAATGTTGAAACCAAGAAACAGCTGTAGAAAAACAGTAGAGGCTGAACTGAATGAATGAGGGTCACAATTGAGGGCGAGGAGAAAACAGCAGTAGTTTCAAGTCCTTTCAAGCCCAATGTAAGTCATTTATGGATAACTTATACTCCCTATTTAATGTTGTATGTGGTGTAGTCATGTTATTGTTTTGTAAAAGGACGTTTGTTTATTTTAGTTCAGGTGGGTAGCTGCGTTAGCATGTGTAGGCTGCAAAGGAACAAGTAATAGGTTTATTCCATGCTGAAAAGAGAAGAAAACGCAACGTTTTGGCTGTGGAGAATTCTGACTGTGATTTATTACTTTCTCGCTAGAGTTGTACCAGAGTATATAAAGAAGCCATGTGCCATTTCTCACATGCTTCAAATTTTGCCTATCACTCATTTTTATTTAACTACTTCCCTATTTTCTTTATTCCATATTTAGCATTTGGAACAGACAAAAGAGAACTCTTTTTCCAGTTGTTTAAAATTTTAGTATGTATGGTCTTTAACCAACATATGTTTATTTTTGTTATTGTTGTTGTTCATGATGATTAAATTGCCTTCTTCAGAAGATCATATTTAATATGTTTATGCCAACACAAGAAAGACATGTTGGGTGTTTTGGCTAAATCCTGTAATTTGCTTTGTATTACATTATTTCACGATATTAAAATTAAGGAATACAAAGCAAATTTGTATCCAAATTTGTCAGTCCAATCCCCAGACACACAGAAAATGTCCCCTAGCCTCTTCATTTCACAAAATCATTGTAATAAATAATCCACAGAAGACATGAACCAAACTAGTTATCATCCCATTTCAGTTGGAGTGGAATGGGTTTTCAAAGTATAATATTGCCAAACCGTTTTTTTTCAATGTTAATTTTATTTATTTTTTTCTGTGCAGTTCTTCAGTGCTTCACCTGCATATGCATTTTTCTCTATTGGGATTTTCATAGAGAAGGCAGGATCTGAATAGCTCTAGGCTTCCCTGAAGCTAATGTCCACTCTTGGTAAGCAGTGTGCATGCTTAATATCAATTTATTCCCATCATTGCATAGAAGGCAGTTGCTCACTTCATCATTTAGTGAAACAAAGCTTTTCTTTATATAATTAATTATTAAAATAATTATTAATTATTAAAATCCATGAGTCCCACATCACTCATGGATTAAACAGTTACTTATTAAGCTAAGAACCTTAAAGCAGTGACAAAATCAGCACAAATCCCAGCATTCTTTTATACATGGCAGTTTGATAAAATACATTTTGCTCTTGAATTGTTACTTTCAAAGTATTTATGAAAATACTTCATGTATGAAGGCCAATCAATACAGAATTCTGCTTTAGAATGTGGCTAAGAAACTAATTACAAGTGAGTGTCATAGTCATAACAAGAAAGTAGTCCAATTGGATCTTCTTTCTCATAAAGTTTGTGTTTTTTTGTGTACATAAAAAGCAAGATTTATCCCATTTCATTTCTGTTGCTTTTTTAATTAGCTTTAATATTAATTAAATGCAATAAATATATATAAATATTTCTGGAGCAGCAAGGAACATAGCGTTTAGTATTGCTATCGCAAGGAGCTGGGGCGATGAGTTTAATTTCTGGAGTGGAGTTTGTGCTGTATGTGCTCCCCGTGTTTGCATGGATTTCCTCCAGGTGCTTGTTTTCTCCCACATTCCAAAGACATACAGGTAGGTTAATTGGCTTCTGGGATAAGATAAGATCACTTTATTGGCCATACACAATTTCTTGCATTAGGAATTTGTCTTTTCGCTTACCCCAGCTTGCTCTCCATGAGACACACAGGCTCGCAGATGGGGAGAGAGAAGCTTGGAGTCAGAGCACAGGGTCAGCCATTTAAACGTCACCCCTGGAGCAGTTGGGGTTAAGGACTTTGCTCAGGGGCCCAATGAAGTAGGATTCCAATAGGATAAAGCTATTGAACTGACTATTGAGGTGTCTTAGGATCTAAGAGACAATTTGTGTTTGTGTTTGTCTGTCTTGCAATGGCCTGGCATTCTGTCCAGGGTGTATCCACCTTGCACCCATTGCTTACTGGAAAAGGCTCAGACTCTCCCACAATTCTTTATTGGGTAAAGCGATTAGAAAATGGATGAATGCATTAATGGAGCAGTTCAACCAGTAGCTGATCCTGTATACAGGACAGATTAAACACTATAATCTAAACCGTGTATTTAAGCGGTCGTGACTTGAATAACCAAAGCAGTGTAGCTTTATTGTCTGTGTTGCAGCTGGGTTTGATGGATATGATTCGGCCAATTTTCCCTTGTTGTGCCACAAATCAGTTAAATCTTTAGCTTGTGAGATATCAGTGATCTACTGTATGTTAGCTCTATCCAAATGGAACAAAAGCAAATAATTTAATCCATGTCAGTAAAATTAAAGGTTCAAATATTTTTGTTAGTAGTTTATCAAATGTAGTTTTTCACAAAAAAAAACATTCTCACCAAAGCAAATGTTACTTAAAACTCATTATTTCGCTATCTTTCCTAACACACTGATTCTGTAGTGGTTGTGTAACAACCTCAAGGAGGGCATAAAAGAAACATTACATGATTAGGTGAAAAATATTCTAGGGTGTAATTTCAGTTAAGGTGCCTACTGCAGGTGAAAAATTATAGTGTATGCTTCACTTACCAACATCATAGATTGATGGCAGGTATTTGATTTAAAAACTTATGATAAACTGCTCCTAGAAAGACTAATGATTTCCAGAAAAAATTGTCAGACAGTAGCAGCCAACTTGGAGTGCCTGTGATTGTAAAGTAGTGTGCATCAGCAAAAAAGTGAAATTGTCCTCCTCTATATATATATCTGACAAGGATATATATCGGACAAGCAACATACAAAGACATCCACCTGCACACATTTGTGTACGGTATGTATACTTATTGAGTATCTGAAGTTTTCCTATCCACTCAGTATATTGCTTAACTATACATCAGTCTCACATGCCTCATGCTTTTGTCAAGATGCATTTATTTCACTTTTATAAAGAAATGTATTTTTTAAAAGGTGATACACACGGTAAAAAAATAAAAGAGAACTTATATTGCCGAAGTCACTAAGCTGAATATTTTCCAAATGCATTTTTTTTTACTTCAGTCATGCTTAAGTCATAATTTTCATGTAAGAGTTGGCATCTTTCTTTTTTTAATTAAGAACACACAAAAGGGGGCACCTAGTATAATTCCACAATTTAAATCTGAGAAAGCATTTAGGACACCACAAAGTGTCTGAGGTTTTTATCTTTTATCACAAAGAGTAAAGATGCAGCCATTTAAAATTCATGGTACAACCCCGTACTGCGCGAAATTGTCCACAGTTCACTACATTGTACCACAGTATGTGATTGGCGGGCCAAAATGACTGAAGGGCACTCGTGGTGCATTGGTTGTTAGTGAAATGATTTAATAATTTAATATCTTTAATATGCATGTTTTAATCCGCTTAATCTAGAATATTTATATGACATTTTTACAACTAAAGAGAAATTTTAGTAGCTGAGCATAAATAGAAGAGGAGCATAACATGTCTGAAGGTCATGAACCATATTAATTTAGGAACATAAACATATTATGTAAACTGTATGTGGCTGGTATTGGTAGTTTAGATAAAAAATACACCAATATTCCATTTTCTTTCTAAACATTTTAAGTATCAAAGTCTTTCATGCTGTGGTTATTTTGGAAAAAAATTTACATGCCCCTTCTGACGATATTAAGTTTATATACTTCCTAAAAAGTTATGTTTTAACATTTCCTATCAATATTTGCGCTCGTTATCGCAGAAAAAAATGCATACTTTTTAGAATTTGATTAATAGGAAATATAATATGGAATCGTGTATCTAAAGAAATTAATAACGATATAATTATATTCATATAGCTCAAATTATCACAGTAGTACACTTCCTTTGTAAATGTCTGCATCAGTTTAACTCATTCACCCGTGATTATGTGTGGTGTAATGGCTTAGGCGTATGCCTTGCATGCAGGAGGATCGGGGTTTGAAACCAGCTGTCACCATGAGATTTCTTTTAACAAATAAACATTTCTTTGAAAAACTAAAATGGCAAATATTCTGGACACCATATTGACATTTTTTATATTTCTAAATATCACATGTTTAAAGCTAAGTGATTTATTAATAACAAAGAATAATTTTAAACTGCTACTGTACTGCCATTACAGTATACTGTAGCTTGTGGGAAATACATTTATTTGTCCTGCATCAAAGTTTAACTCGTTTAGAGTGTCCTACATTACAAACGCCAAGCGTTTCATTTTGTATATTGCTACAATATCAACAGCAATGTAGTTAAAAAGAACATGTCAAAATGTTTCCAACATAACCACAAGTGAACAAGTTGAGGGATTTGATAATAATAGAGAAATCATAACAATGACGCCATGTTGCTAATCATGCATACCTAACTGGACTGTAATCCACTTTCTTTGTAAACAAGTTTTATTTTTAATTCAACTCATTCATGCTTGATGAATTGTGAGAGAGTGATAGATGGAGACAAGGTGGAGGTTCTTGTCAAAACTATGTTCCCCAGAATGCAGTGGGAAATAATGTCAGTCACCCTCAGTTACTTGACTAGCTGATGCACTGCATCAGAGAGAATGACTGAAGAATTAGCCCATTAAGAGCAAGTTTTTTAAAACAACCTGATGGGAAGGAAAAGTGGCCATGGTCATTTTTTTCACTGACAGACAAAATAGAACAATGTAGAGTACATAACGTGGTTATGTATCATGAATGTTTGCAAATGTTGCGATACTTGTATAGTATATGCTTTTGGGAACACATTCGTTTTCACATTTGTAATTGCTCACTTCTGCTGTCGTAGAGTGTTTTGGAATCTACATGCTCTCCCCGCATAGTTATCGACAATGGAAATGTCTCTAGAATTGGCATGCTGTATAAATGATAAAGCAGAAACAATGGAGGAAAACAAAACCGCAATGGAAAGCAACTGGTTTGACATGTACAGTAAATGTGACACCTGTGGCGCATTGAGCGCATGTCCTACAGTGTGAGCTCATTTGCAAGGCTATTAAAAAAGGTTGATCAAGTTCACGGTCTGGTTGTGGCGAGTTTCGACTGTTTCCTGCCAGTCTTGGGCGAAAAGAACCTGTCTTTCATTGGAAGGTTCGCCTATTCTACTCGTACATGAGAATATAGGGGGGAAGGAAAAGTGCCCGTGGTCATTTTTTTCCACTGACAAGCAAAGTTGTGTTTAACACAAGCTCTGCTTAACAGATCCGCTTGTAAGAGCAAGGTGACTTTCTGCGATCGAAACCATTTTTTAAAAGCTTTTAAAGTCACGCATTGTTTGAGTTAAGCAGGAACACGTCATTGTACCTTTTTTTTATTTCATTTAAAAAAAAATAATAATTATTTTTAAATAAATATATTTTATAAAAATATAAGGCAACCAGCTATCAAATGTCCTGTTTTTTCTTAAAACTAATTTTTCCATACTGTAGTTTGAGTCTTTGTGTAAGCTGTAAGTTATTTTTACTTCTTAACTAAACATTTGAAACACTAATTTTGTAAATGCAACACACATACCATACAGAAATAAATTCATGTTTTCTACAGGTGCTTAGCAGATTAGCAGGTTGCTGACAAAATAGTGCACCATCCAGCACTGCCCAGTGATATAACTTAATATAAACAAGATCTTGTACCTGGTGCAGTTTTTTTTATTTAATCGAATCCCAGGTGTGAGTTCATATAGCCAAAATTACGTACTATCCCTACATCTGTGAAACACCTGATCATCTACTGTAAAGCTTTCAGTGCTTTGTTTGTGTATATTCCGATCACAGCAGGGGCAAGGTGTGTGGGAAAAGGTCTAGGCTGCAATTGAATTGGGGATCTGTATTCTTCACACCTGAAACATTGTTTTCTCTGAAAAGATTTTCTTCCCTCTTTAGCTGATCTTTTGCTGCCTACGCCTCCTTACACAGCT